TTTGATTTATGCCGAGAAAATCTAGAGCACACGGCGGGTGTGACCGGTCAGCAGGGGATGCTCACTCCTCCATGGCACCTGATCCCACCTCTGATGTTTTTTATTGGTCCGTGTTTGCTCTGCTCCTGAACTATATTATTTGAATGGACTTTGAGTTTGAGTACTGTTTGTTTTCTCCATATTCCAATGTAGCAATATACCCTTTTCACCTGCATATGGGGTTTATATCTCCATTCGAACTCATCATTTTTTTCTTTTTATTTATTCATATTTGATCATCAATTATTCTAACACTTTTGTTGTACTCCTGACCAAGAGCATGTGAGTCTTTAAAGCAGTTAATTACATCACATTACATTAATTACATCAGAAAGTATCATGTTGTTTCAGTGAAGTTATGGTGGAATTACTTGAATTTTATAAAAATTCTTCAGTGTTTTTTTTTTTAATTTCATTAAAAAAAATTAAAAGAAGAGATAAAAACACATAAAATTGAAGAATAAACAGATTTCAATAATAAAACTCTCAATAATTTAACATTCAATCATTCAAATAGATCATCATTGATTAAAGAATACTTATGAGTATGAATAGAAATCTTTTCATGATTGAAATCGGATCTTTAGACAGATGTGTTGGACTCATGACCATAGAAATATGGATCCAAAACATGGAAATATCCTGTAATTGATTGATTTGGGAGGGGGGGGGGGAATGTTCTTTGTCAAATTGTACAGTTATAAGAGGGAAAGAAAAATATGATCATATAAATTCATAATATTTAAATATTATTTGGATATTTATGCAAATATAGTTCAATATTTTAATTTAATTAGTCAGAATCCAGGTAAGAATCCCTCCTTAATACTTAGACACAAACTCAATGAACTCCTACAGCAATAGCAAGTACATCCCCTATGGACCTTGAATTAACGCCCTTATACATCTACAATGACCCTTAGATGACTGCCTTATTATATCTTTCATGAACATTTACACAGTTTTGACCTGATGTATTTTCTATAAATCATTAAAGTAATGCACCAGTTCATATACCCTTCAAAATTAAGATGCATAGTAAAAGTTTTAAAGTTTAGGGTCATGAAAAATCAATACCTTGTATGCAGTCATAGACACCAATGATAGACTAAAACTTCATCCAGATGGACGCAAATGACTGAGTGAGTGTATTAAAAACAGTATAGGAATGTTATCCCACTCTAAATTTAGAGCTTTGGTCAGCTGTTACAGAGTCTGTTGATGCTATTGTCTTTGGTGTACCTCCAGGTTCTTATTGACAGCGGATACCAAGTGTTTTTTTCAATATTATTCAGATCTACAAGCCCCAATATCTCGCCTCAGTTCCTGGGATTCTTGTCACTGGTGCTAACCTATTTTATTTCACCCTTTCTGTTATTCGTTATTCTTACCTTTTTAATTTCTCTTACTCCAGCTTAACAGCCGCTCTATATTCAAGACTCTGAAACGCTCAGTGCTGTCTATTATATACCCTTAAGAGTAGTCTTCTTTGAAGGGGGAAAGGTTATTCCATTTTAACCCTAATCTGACCCCATAATCGTATCGATTCAACTGGGAGATATAAACCCCATATGCAGGTGAAAAGGGTATATTGCTACATTGGAATATGGAGAAAACAAACAGTATTCAAACTCAAAGTCCATTCAAATAATATAATTCAGGAGCAGAGCAAACACGGACCGATAAAAAACATCAGAGGTGGGATCAGGTGCCATGGAGGAGTGAGCATCCCCTGCTGACCGGTCACACCCGCCGTGTGCTCCTTGTCATGATCATGAAAATCCGAGAAATCCGTAAACAATTCAGTGTGTAAATAATAGCCTAACAATTAGTATGAAAAACGTTAGTCAGCATTTGACTTAATAAAAGATTGTATTTGCTGTCAAGGTCATTGTATCGGCCATAGAACTTGCCAAATGAAGTCTTTAAACGAGACTGTTGATATTCTTGTTTCATCAGCTTGTTTGTCAATAGCTTGCCTCGTTTAGAAATGGTTCTAGAGCATGCATTTGTGTATCGAATCAACTAGTAGACATAAACCCAATATGCAGGTGATAAGGGTATACTGCTACATTAGTAAGGAAAGTTGACGAAAGAAAATACAAGGTCATTACGTTTATCATAATGTCTTGTTAGATTACCATTTTTTAAATAAAATGTCCAAACAAAATGTTCAAGTTCACTGCGATATATCGAGTCGACATATGAATGGAAGTAACTATAGTAAATTGATAATATGTCATCGATATATCTAAATGTCGAGTTGAAGGCCACAGCAAGTGTTTTTTCTTCTTCTCATGTATAACGTTTGAATAATTTCTGCTTCATATGAATACAAAAATGGGTCTGCTAATAACGGAGCGCAATTGGTACTGATGGGAATTCCAAAAGATTGCGGTAAGACCTGATCTCCAAAAACCACATAGGTATTGTCAATCAGAAACTCAAGCATCTTTTGATATCTACTTCGTGGTACTCGAGTCTACAATCAGATTGTTCTTTAACAAAAATAATTCTCTAAATGACCAATGATAAATTTACAAGTTCCATTTCCTTTTTTAAAAGCAACTGGACTTTAATTCATTGTGGGGAATGGTTGAATAAAGTGTTGAAAAGTCCTACGTTTTGATGTTATTTATTTTGGTAAAATTTTGTGATTTCGATTTTTTTTTAGAAGTTCTTGGAGTTTTTAAGTATTCACATCTGATTTACATCACTTTTCGAATATATTATTGCACAATAATCCTCAAGTTTCTCCTTCACTGCTGTTAATATTTAGTGATGAGTAAAGAAAGAGGTTTGGTAGAACATTTACTGGAGCCCGCTATGTATCTTTGTTTGTAAGAATTTATATGAAGTTTAGGAATCCCGTATAAGTATGGTAATTCAAATTCATTTGGATTGTTGGAAATGCTAAAAATATTTAAAACTAAAATATGATTTTGAATTTCTTCCTTAAAAAGGGAGGTACGGGTATAAGTTGGATTACCACTTGCATAATTAAAACCCAGATTTCTAAAATACAATTAAACAATGAGTCTTACAAAGAAAGACAATGTTGTTACCAGCTTAGTCAACTGGAACCAGTACAAACTGATTGTGTAATCTATCTAGTTCTTTTCTCACTTCTGAATTATTAAAGACAGAAGAATAGATGGTTTTCATTTTGCCCCTCAATCGCTTAATGTGAGATTTCAATATTTATTTGATACTTTTAATCAATTTGACAAAGTGTCAAGGTCTTCTTTTCATGTTTGGCCCATCGCCTGGCAAAAGTCATAATATTTATAAATTATAACGTCAGTTGAAAGATCGGGGTTCCCTAATTTTTGGCCCTTTCAAAATAAGTGATTTAAGGTCCTCTTTATTAATCATTTTTACGTCACCAGTATTGACATGTCCAGCAGGACTATAGTTGTAGGGTGAAGAAGAACACGTCAACACGATGGAGGATTATGTTTCAAATGTTCGGTATCCAGGCACTGTAGATTTTTTTAATTAAAAAGTTTGGAAGCAGTAGTCGATGTATATTTGTAAGAAATACAAGGTATGAACTTCAGCTTGAAAAATGCTGGAATACAAGACTGGACCCCTTCGTGATTAAGGATATTACTTATATTAAAAGCGTCATTTCCTTTGTTGGCATATTGAAGTTTTAAAATAAGGAACAAAAGGGTTGTTTAAGCTTTATTTTCTTCCGTAAAAAGTGGCGGTTCAAAAAGCCTATCATTTGCAGTATCTATGATCAAAGATCTGAGCCTGTATTCTGGTGTCGAAGAATCCAAAGTTCTATGGACTTTCCTTGACTTTTTCAAATAGACTATTTAAAACTTCCAAAGGAACGGAGTTAAGTTTGGTGCAAATGTGACGAAGACCTACGTATTTATTTATATAAGGTAGTAGTTAATCAAAGGAGACATCGTGTATAATTCGTTTATTGTAAGATCGATGTCCATGACTCCGTTTACGCCTCTGTGTACTGTTAAAAAGTCCCATTACTTTCACATCGCTTCACTGTGGGCTTGAAAGATCAACATTGTCATTGCTACCATAAGGAAAGGCAGTACCTAGTTTTCTAATCCAGTTTTCTTCTCGTTCTCTACGGAAAGGTGTATGCATTGGGCTATTAGTATGATGGTAAATCTTTTCTAGAATTCTAACTTTCATTGAGAAAATAGAATGATCGGGTAAATTAAAGAGCTTGTAAAGAAGCTGCTGGCCCCTGTTGTTAATTTGAAATCTATGCCCCGATATTCCTTTATTAAGTGAACCCGTGGTTTCACTAAAGTAAATAATCCCACAAAGGGAATAATTCTATTTCTCATTTCGCAAGTTCTATGGTCGATACAATGACCTTGGCAGCAAATAAAGTCTATCATTAACTCGAATGCTGACTGACGTTTTTCATACTAATTATTAAGACATTTTTTTAAACACTGAATTCTCTACGGATTCTTCCGTTTGCCCAATCATGACAATGAGCATGCGGCGGGTGTGACCGGTTGGCAGGGGATTCTTACCAATCCATGGCACCTGATCCCACCTCTGATGTTTGCTCTGCTCCTGATTTGTATTGTTTAAATGGACATTGGAGCTTGATTACTGTTCGTTATCTCCATATCTCCATATTCCATTATGCGTTTCTTTTCTGAACAGTAGTAGTCCTCCATCAACCGTTATAGTAATGTCGCAGTATATATCCTCTATAAAACCCTATCCGTAATGTCCCAGTATATAATCCTTGGTCCATGAGAGAGTATTTCTAGTAATATTTTAGATTCTCTGAATATGTTAAGAGTGGAAGATAGAGTTAAACAATTAAGATTAAACCATGTTTTTAATATATATCATGGAAATGCACCAGCTTATCTCCATGATCATTTTGTACTGAATAATAATATAACAAGAAGTGCAACTAATAAGAATTTTCAAAGGTTTTTGTAAAAATAAACAACGTAATATTGTTCTAAATGAATTTTATATAACAATTAATATGCCTCATACAATAACATTACCATCATGATCATTTGAGTGAAATAGACAACATCCTACATTCAGAAATCATTTTTTTCTCACAGCTAATGATACTTAATACACTCCTTGACAGCTGGCAAGATTGTAGTCTTTAAATGTTTTGAAAAATGAAAAGTAGAAATAAATGTATATAAGCTCTGAATACAAGAATGTCAAATGTTACTGCTGAATACTTTTAAATAAAATTCATTTTCTGCATTATTGTGATTTATTGTACAACCCCAACACAACTCTGCTGTCAATCCTAGCACAGTTAATGGACAACAGTCTTGACAATCCACAGTCTTACAACACAGATCAGATAAATCTGAAGTGACATTAATTACAAAGTTTTATATTACATGTATTCCATTTACAAACATTTTAACAGTATCAACTGTACCCAACACAACTCAAAACAAAAAAATCACAGTGAAAAATCAAGTGATGCACTTTATGGACAATGTGATAAATTGTGTACATTCTAATACTATACTGTGATTAAAGCTGAGGAGACATATACAAAATTAGTATATGATTAAAGTATGATTAAAGTGTTTACATTGTATGCAGACTAGAATTATGAAGTGAAAAACCAGCTTTCACTTCCAGAAGAAAGATCAGTCATAATGTTTTATTCCTATTTAATGAAGTATAGAAACTGGTACATGCTCGTTAAATATCGGGATAAAAAGAAGAATTTTTCAGTCTGTATTTTCTGAATTGTCTGGTAGAAGCTTCCTAGAACTGTAGTTACTTCCAAAGCTTGATGCCTCTGTTCCACTGGTGGAGTTATCAGGTAAGGATGCATTGCTTTGTAAACACAGAGGGTGATAGCCAGAATTGTCTCTGTTCATATCATTCATACTTAAACTCAAACCCTTGACATAGGTGACACCACTCTCTTCAAAATCTGTTAAACATGTGTCTTGTGACACATTTGGAGTTGATCCTGACATCACTGCCTCTGAAAAAATAATTCAATATAATGTACATACCAATACCTTCTGTCTTTGGATTAAGGTTTCAATTATCACATCATCACAGTACATATAGTTATACTCTTTGATGCCATGTGACATATTTTTCAGCAGTATTTCAGTAAAGCAAATTACAATCAAATCATTTAAGTTGAAAAATTATTTTTACACATTTGTATTTGAAAATAATAATCAAAAGATAACACATTTGCATGATCACTTTTTTTAATAATTTTGACAACAGAAAAGTATGCCACAGAGAGAGAGAGAGACTAAAAACAAGGGAAGCAGAGAAGGAATATAGCTGGCTGTGCTGAGAATAAACTGATTCTGTGTCAGGTCAAAAGGTTATAAAACAGTTTCAACTGTGAGAAATGCTATGAAAATACTCAAGTCAAAAAAGAAAAACAAAAATGTGAATAAGATTTCATTAATATGAACTAAAATAATGCATCATACACATAATCAAGTAAATAAATCATTGCCATCAAGTTTGATACAAATTATTCTAAAAATATATTTTTCATTGTATTCAAGTTGTGACAAAATAAGAGATTTTGAGTAAATGTTAAAAATAAACCAGAGGTCTCTCGCAAGACTGATACTCTACTGGTTTTTACTTGTATTAATGGAAAGAAAAGTAACACTTGGACCTGAAACTATTACTACACCATGATCTCTGGTTGTGTGGCAAGTTTTATTGAAATCAGACTATTATAGGAGAAGCATTTTGAAAGAATTTCAAAATGTTGAAGGTGGAGAATTTTACAGACTTCTATTTTTATTTACCATGGGAATACTTTTCATTGAAATCAAAAAACCAATATACAGAATTATGTATCTTAATGTATTCTACTTGAAGTCAGACCAAAAATGTAGGAAGAGTACTGTTTTGAAAGAATTTCACAGAAACATCTATTTCTAGTAAGCACACCAACACCATCCATTGATATCAAAATTCAAGTAAGAGAATAAAAAATCTTTAGGTTGTCTACTTGAAAGAATTTCCCAGTAATACTAGTATCTATTTTTAGCAAAACTGTTCAAGAAAATCAAAACCCAATACAGTATAAAGTTTTTTTTTTTATATGTATTTCACTGTAGTGCACTTGCATACAAAGTTTTATTGAAATCTGACCAAAGGACAAGATAGGCTAAGACCCCTTTTTCGCTCCTGGTTTGGGGTGTCTTTTAGAATGATGCAGCAGTTTATCAATAGAAACTTGTTGCTAACCCTGCCATAAAATGAGTATTGGTTCTAAGTTATGGGTTACACAGAGGTCACAGGAAGGTCAGAAAATATGCCAATTTCCAAATTTTCTCATTTTTATGCAAATTTTCATCGATTTTACAGTACATTTTGTTTCAAAAAACATAGAGCACAAGCTTGCCTATCTACCAAATTTATATATTTCATACACTAGTATCAGATGCATCTTATGTATAAAAATCTCAGATAGGCAAGCTTGTGCTCTATGCTTCCCGTAGTGAAAAGTATCTCAAATTCTTTGATGAATTTCACCAGAATTGAGGAAATTTGGAAAAATGTCCTACTTCTGCAACCTCTTGTGGCCTTCGTGTAAGCTTTGAATCAAAATTAGAGCTGGTTTTAAAACAAGCATCATTTTAAGTTCTTAACTACAAACTATCACAATTTTAACTGTGTTCTGATTTTTACATCAAATAAGGGGCTAGATTTGGCCTTTACCATACCTTGTCCTTTGTAGAATATATGGAATTGTTTACAGACACCTTACTATGACATAAGCTTGTCTGGTCTCTGACCAGTAAAGCTCAGAAGAAGAAAACAAAATTAAAAAATTGATTTCAATCTCAGACCAGATAACCCCCACCTCCTCCTCCAATAAAATAAAAGTATACAGTAATGAAAAGGAAAAAAGGCAGTATGTTTCTATCAACTTAAAATAAAAAAAAAATTGGACATATAGTACATATATTCTTTCTACTATAACTACAACAAGCGTGGAGTGATTGGTTACTTTTAAAAACAATGGATTCTCGATTCCTCTAATCCAAACTTTGTGATTAACTATCAATAAAGAATTGCAATCAGGAGATCAGCATACTTTGTGCACTAACACAGGAAGTTATTTATGATTAAGACAGCATGATCAAAAGAAATAGTTACAATTATATCATATATATGTGTACCTGATATTTTGTGTATCAAATGTACTGTTAAGAGAATCATGACATGCTGAATGTCATTCAATATGCATATATAAAACATTCCAATTCAGAGAACATTTTAGAATAAAAAAAATAATTTACCAACACAACAATGGATGTGACACTTCAAAATAGAAAAAAAATTTAACACTTTCTTTTACTTGGCTAAAACATTGCTACTGAGTTCTACAAACAATTATAAGAGGCCTCATTTTTTTTATTTGAACTTTGACCTTGACTTACCTGCTGATAAATCGTCCTCGTAGTCGGGCTCTGGTTCAGCCTCGGGCTCGGAGCTGTCTTCTCTCTCATCATCTGCCAAGTTTTCTGTTGATGGGTGACCTTGATTCAATGTCATCGGCTTAATGTCATAATCACTGTCTGCCTCAGACTCATACACTCTCAGTGAGGCAGGTCGCATCCCCTACAACATCACAAAGTTAAACTGCTCAAAGTAAGCCACATTAATGTACATTAAACTGCAGATAAAGCCTATCATATTTTAATTCACTACTTTGTAAGTTACTTCATTCTAAGTACTGTCGTTCACGTGGCGCAGTGGTTAGAGCGTCTGCTCTAGAGTCGAGAAGTAAGGAGTTGATCCTCACGTCGTGGATTCGAATCCCACTGTGGGACGTGGAGACCGGTCCTTTGGATGAGACCGTATAAACCGAGGTTTCGTGTCGCAGTAGGTGCTGGCACGAAAAAGATCCCTCACTGCTCAATGGCCGTAAGTGCCGAGTACAGGACAAAAATTTGCAGCTCTCCACCGGCAAGTGGTGGCGTCTCCATATGAGTGAAAAATTCTCGAGAGGGACGTTAAACAACATACAAACAAACATTCTAAGTATTTACGTGTTATCAGCATTTTTTTGCTTATGTTAAGTTTCAGTAAAATAACTTGACTAGATAATTATAACAAATTGAAATCCACTTAAAACACCATTCTTTTGTTTGAGTGCTCCATTATTTCTCAGGAACGGAGAGTTGCAAATCCCACAGAGAACAGTTTATAACTTTATATATAATGTCCAAATTCTCCCTCCCATACCTCTTGGTGCTTAGTTTGTTATGACTTAGAAAAGGTTATTATATATTTTGATAAGAAAAAGCCTGGCAATGCTGAGTATTGAACCCAGTAGCCTCATAATGTAAAGGCAGGTACTCTACACACCAAGCTACTGACACTGATGTTGAAATGGTATTTAGATAACTTGTTAACCTCACTATGCCATACTATATATAAAACTATAAATTACTAAAATGTTAATCTAATTAAAACATGTCTGTAACATATAGAGACAATTTAAAGCAGTGGATTTTAAGTAAGTCAATATCCACACACCTCTTCATTCCTTAAAAGTAATGGAACCAATGCCCCAAATAGGCCATGGCTCATTGCTTTTAATGAATGGACAAGTACTCCAACATTAATTTATATGCTATTTGCAAAATTTTATTGAGAATTGAAAGTATGAGACTCTTGAATTATTGATATGATTCATTTTATACCAAATGTGATATAAATATATAAGTGACACCCACCTTACTGTCTAAGCTGTCTGTATTGTAGTCGGATACATTTACAATCTTTGAAGCATTTGATTCATCCGATATATCCTTGTTTTCAGTGTATCTGAAATTTGTCAAAAACACCTCATTATCAAAATCAAGATAAAATTGATTAAGTTTTCCAAAGGTAGGTCACACTACAAGGTCAAGAGGTCACAAATGTTGGTATCTATTAGAGGGTCTTGTCACAAGGAATACACCTGTTCAAAAGTTATGGCCAAAGGTGAAAGTTTTTCAAAAGGAAGTCAAACTCTAAGGTCATGAGGGCATGGTCAAGAGGTAACAAGACATGCTTGTGAAACACTGATTCCCCATATGGCAGCTCTTGGAAAAGGATAAAGTTTCTCAAATGCAAGTCAAACTCCAAGGTCAAGAGATCAAAAATGTTCATGCCCAAAGAAAGGTCAAAATTTAAGGAATACACCTGAAATATAAAACCCTTGCTGCAACCATTCAGAAATTATGGTCATGTCCAAAGTTTTTCAAATGTAGGTCAAATTCCAAGGTCAACATGAAAAGGTCAAATATAATTGTCATAAGGAATACATCTATGAAATAAGAAACCCCTAGCACCAAGCATTCAAAAGTTACAACCAAGGTTAAAGTTTTTCAAAAGTAGGTCAAACTTCAAGGTCAAGATCAAAAGATCAGATTCAGAATTGTTTTTACTCAAAGGAAGTTATTATCTCAAAGAATACATATGTAAAATGTGAAAGACCTAGCACCAATTGTTAGAAAGGTATGGCCAAGGTTAAAGTTTTTTTTCAAATGTAGGTCAAACTCCAAGGTCAAGGTTAAAAGGTCAAAATTTTTGGTACTCAAGGGAAGGTCTTGTCACAAGGAATACGCATGTGAAGTATAAAAGCCCTAGCACCAACCATTCAAACGGTATTGCCAAGGCTAAAATTTTGCAAAAGTGGGTCAAACTTCAAGGTTAAGAGGTCAAATTTGTTGGTACCCAAAGAAAGGTCTAATCATGAGGAATTCATATGTAATGTGGAAGCCATAGCTCCAAATAATCAAAAGTAATGGGCAAGGTAAAAGTTTTTGGGGACAAACAGACAGATGGACAGGCAGAGCAAAAACTATATGCCCCTAAATCTGTGATTCAAGGGCACCAAAATGTTGGTATTCAAGGAAAGGCTTTTTACAAGTAATGCGCGTATGAAATATGAAAGCCAACTGTTCAAAAGTAAAGGCCAAGGTTAAAATTTTCCAAAGGTAAGATTACTTTTAATAATTTGTTTCTGTTTAGATTCTATTTTAAAAATGCTTTTCCTCTCTTGTTTGAGTGAATTTCCTACAATCACTTGTGATGCAGTCACAACAAATCTGATATCATTTCTTAAAGGGCTGCTATTCTAATTTCAAAAGAGAAATATTATGGAAAGTGGTTTCCATAATAAATGATTTCTAATACTGACATGTTAACGCAACACTCTGTCATATCGCCAGATGTTCTCACCTGCCAGACATAGAAATATAGTGGGCAGTCACATATCACGTTTAAATCAATGAATGTGCAACATTTCAACCCACGGGAAAATAAACATGTTTATGAGATCTTACTGGCATTTGGTAGTGTCTCCAATGGAGGACACTCCATTAAGTCTACATGTCTGATATCATACGAGGGGCATTTCAAAAGTTCTGGCAACTGGTATATAAAATTTTAACTACGTTACGGATTAAAATGACTCTGATACCACTGTAAAGTTTAGGCAAATATGCATTAGTAGTGACGTCATTTTACATTCAAAATGACGTACAGGTCTGCTAAAATGACGTCATAATTAGGTATACTCTGTATACAGGGCGTAAAAATGACTGATAAAGAGAACAATTTTTTTGTTGAGCAAAGAGCGTATTGCAAAATTCGCTCATTGCTTGGCTTTACAGCAACAGAAATAAAAGCCGATTTAGATGTAGTATATAGAGAGCATGCTCTTTCATATCGAGTAATAGCAAGATGGGTAGTTCAATTTAATTAAAGAGGGTAGAAAATCAATTGAAGATGACCCCCGTTCGGGGCGTCCAGTTTGTGCATATGGCAAAAAAGAAATCGTCGCTGTTCAAAATATGATAGCTGATGCTGCTAGATATACAGTTGAGGAAATAGCAGACTTAACTAACATTAATTCGTCAGCAGTTTTTCATATTTTAAAGGAAAACTTAAAGCTTTGGAAAGTTTGTGCTAGATGGGGCCGCATCTTCTCTCGGAAGAGCAAAAGCACATCCGGGTAGAAATGGCTTCACAGTTACTAACAATTTATGAAGACTGTGACCAAAGGCTAATGAGATTTTAACTGGTGATGAAACAAGGATATATTTTTTGAACCGGAAACTAAGCTCAACAATAAAGTTTGGATCGGTGAAAATGATACAAGGCCTCAAATTGCACGCAGAAACCGGTCTGTCCGGAGAGTAATGTACGCCTTATTTTTTTTTATTCTAAAGGCCCTGTTGCTACAGTTCAAGTTCCAGAACACAGCAGTGTTACTGGTCAATTTTATGCAGAGAATGTCTTGTCTCAGGTTGTAGAGCACTATAAAACGACCCGACCAACAACCATTACTAGAGGAATAAAGCTCCTCCATGACAACTCACCTGCCCATACATCAGAGGTAGTAACCAAATATTTAAAGGAAAATGGTATTGCCGTTTTACCACATCCACCCTACAGTCCTGACCTATTTCCATGCGATTTTTGGTTGAATGCCGTTATCAAAGAAGCCCTCCGAGGACGGTGATTTGAAAGTCGTCATGCAGTCGGAAGTGCTGTATTCCAGTGTATGAAGCATATACCGAAAGAGGACTATAGGGCAGCATTTTCCAGGTGGATTTCAAGACTGAAAAAGTGTGTCCAGGTCAACGGAGACTATTTTGAGGGATTGATATAATCTAATTTATGATAATGATGCTCATTAATTTACCGCACACCAGTTGCCAGAACTTTTGAAATGCCCCTCGTACTTAGATTTAGCAGAGTCTTTTGGTGGAGGATTTCCTCTCCTGTCAGTCTCTACGTTTTGAAATTTTACTGGTATTTGATAGTGTCTCTGATGGAGAACTTTCCACCCAGTCTGTCTATACATGTCTGTGATGTCATACTCAGATTTTACAGTAGTGGAGGAGTTCCCCTCTTGTCAGTCTATACATGTCTGATATCATACAGAGATTTAGCATTTTGTACAGGACTTCCCATCCTGTCTGTCACTATATGCCTGAGATATCTTACTGAGATTTAGCAGCATCTTTTTTCGAGGATTTTCTTTCCATTCTGACCACTTCCACAGGGATATCTTTCTTTCTTTCCTCTTCCTCTTCATCCAACACTTTTTTATCATCAGGTTTGACATTGGGGCTCACAACAGGTTCCTCTGGTTTCACACTGATTACATGTCTAAATAAATACAGTTTAAGAACTCCCTTGTATTGCTGTAAGTTTAAATATATAAGAATACACCTAGGTGGGTTCTACAACACAGTCATGCACACCAAAACTACTAAATAATCTCTAAATGTTTTTTTTTTTTAATTTTTTGATTCCATGAGAAAAAAAAAGAGCCCTCTATACACTGCACGCTAAACAGTTCTAATACTGTGGTATTTTTATGCAATAGGGTACCAAGTAATCTGTCCTTCGATCTAGAATAAAAGAAATTGAAATGTACAGTTTATTACTTAATTTGTGATCAAATCAAGCATTCCTTACATTTTAATAGGCCAAGATGAATACATTGAACACTTCATTTGCAGGTACTTTGCCCACTTAAGTAAATGACAGTGATTTCTGTTCACCAGTCCATGTAATTCATTGTCTTTAAACATTTTTCCTGGGGGTAAATGCAAGGTACCCAATGTTGAAAATGTAATAGATAAGCTCAATATTTACACCTTTACACACTATAATTTTCTTGATGTCCAAAAAATATTTTCCATTAGTGTATAGAGGGTCCTTAAGAAATCAATTTTTTTAGTAGAAATATTACAAATGCGGTCTTCTAATTTGTACATGGAATAACACAATAATATTACCCAGGTAGTGTTGTAAACAAAGTTATTATCAAGCAGGAAGATGAGTGATAATTAACAAAGTCCTATCAAAAAGATTCTCCATAAATTGTCCAGAAAGTGATAATAAAGATATTTCTTTAATATGTTAAAAGCTCTTATCAGGAACTTCTATCGTGCGCTTCTCAATTAATTTTCCAGAGAGTGATAATCATTACATTTTTTTCTATAAAAATTAAGGCATCTGAAACTGAAGCCTGTGCATGCACTGAGGAAAATGATAAAATTTAAAACAAGAGGCCCAAGGGCTTTAATGGTCACCTGAGTATAATACAACACTGTACACCTATTCTCCATTAAGTCGTCCACTTTCGTTTGACCCTTGTCGCAAGCTTTTTCAAAAGAAATAGATAAACATATTTTCAAATCGTATTTATTTTAAATAAAACCAACGTTTCAGGTTATAACCAAAAAATAATAACTGAAAATTAAAACATTTTGAAGTGATAGCAATGGATACACCCCTAATTGATCAAATTCAACATGTCGCTCGATGATTGGTAGAAATTCAACGTTTTGTTTTTTTAAAAAATAATGATTAGAATATCAATTTATTACTTTTAAATCATTGCATTTAATGTACACTTCCAGCCCTGAAATTTTCTTAACAATCGGTTGATTGGTGTGCAAGATTGAAACTATTGAAAAATGTTGCCGAAATTTAGTAAGCTACGTTACATCGCATTACATAACTAACCTAAAGGTCGGAAACTTTGCTCTATATCAATAGTTTTATGCTTAAAACTACGCTGAGTCACCATTTTATTCATTTCATAAAGTTTGGAAATGATATCATGTATCAGTAGAAATTGATGTCCTTTTTCGATAGAGTCAGCGTACTAGTTTTTTTAAGGATGTAATCTACGTTCCTTTCACTTTTATATTTTACGGCTTTATAAAGTTCATTGACAATGATAATCACAAAAACATGAGATTTAAGAACCAAATGAAGGTAAGAGATTGTTATTTTCAGTGTGTGTAGTTGATTGGTATGTTATTACATCGTTGTCTGTAAGCTACGTTCCGTAATCTACGTTTTCACTCTTTTAGATTCAAATAAAATATCATTAATACATCAACATTTTCAGAGTAATGAAACTAGTAACCGTAGATAGATATATCTATTTATCTTTACAAAGTTTTTAAATCTATATACACTGTGTTTATGGACTCATCAGAAGAAAACTGCAATGAAATAACTTTTCATTGAACAAAATATTGGCCAGTGCATTTGGCTTACTGTTTATAAGCATTTCTATGGATCAATTTCATCAAAAGAAATAATTTCCATTTACGTTATCTTCACGCATTCAAATTTTTTATATTCCTTGAACAATGCATATTTCAAACTGTTTCTGGAATATGTAATCTACGTTCTCACTTTGAAAGCTACGTTACCCTGAACTATTTACGTCTGGAGAAAATCAGGTATGAAAATTATATACATTTTGATACTTCAGGTAATTTATACAAATGCACTATATATTAACAACCTTAATGCTCCAACTGGGAATTAATTAAGTTATATATTTCTCATTATAGGCTGTCATTTTAAGGTTTATCCAATGTTTTTTGATTTATTGTACACCTTTGAATTAATAAAGTTCTAGTTGGTTCAATTTATGTTATGGGTACGCTTTGTTTGTGTTGTTAAACCAAAGAATCTGCTATTATTTACATAAAATATGCATTTAATTTCAATGCGCGCACTAATATCCATACTTTTGTAAGTTACGTTACCCTGGAAGAAATCCTTGCAGAGAAATTACGACTCAAAGTAAAGACATGATAATTTTAGAATGATAATCAATTCCACATAATACAGTGGAATATATGAAGCCGATTTGTCGAACCATCATTGCTTATTTTGCAATTAATTATCACATAAAAGTAGTTCTTAGTCAAGTAGTCATGAAAGAAAGATCAACGATTCTGTGTTTTGTGGGAAACTTAATTCAAAAGACAACATTTCAAAATATGTTCAGCACATATTGTTTGGCATCAGAGAATTAAAGATAAAGTGCAACCAGATGGTATTGGTATAAGTATTGACTTCATCAGCAGTGTCAACCTTGTCTCTTAGTTCACACGTAGCTTACAACTATCCTCCACTACCCTTTTTACATACCTCTGTGAAATATAGATGGTTCGAGCCTGAGTCATGAGATTTTCTAAATATGTGGATTAAATATTATTCTTTTAAATAAGGAAAAGTTTGACATTATTTCGATTAATTTTTAATTTCGTAATTTTTTCTGTGAATTGGACGGATTAATGGAGAATAGGTGTGTAAAGGATCAATAGAAGTATAAAACAAAATTAACTGATGGACGAAGCAATGTTGCCCAAGAATTTCAAAAATCTGTTAAAAATACCCTTGCTTATTGTAGCGTGCTAGACCTGAGTGATCTCCTTGGGATCATACTTGGTTTTTCCAAGTCTTAACAGGGTAGATAATAAATGCAAAATATACAAATACAACGGACACTTGCCTACTGTGTAAGGTATTCAATATATGTCACTTGCCTAGTGCTACAATTCAGTACACAGAGATGTGGCTACACAATGTTGATATTTGCCACTTGTCACTAATTACAACAAGTCACCCTGGCTCTTTGTGATTCTTTGTTCACTTTCATAAAGTATAAACCAACTTTATCCAGTCTCTTGTCAACCATGACTCTACCAGTGACAATAACTTATCTCATCACAGTGTAAACATACTCTGTGCAATTTCAAATTTTGCTAAATATATAAATAATCTTTATGTCAATCTTTACATTGCTTTCCCGGCAAGAATCTGACTTTGCTCATTTAAACCAAACATTCATTTTTATTTTGTTGCTATATATATTACATTCTTTCTTCTATTTTCATTCAATTAAATAACCTGTTAATTAAATTATACACAAGGATTTCTTGATTAACACAATCTAGCAAAGGGGAGTTACTCTCATTTGCTTCACTTACTACAACTGTGTACTTTGTTTGCCTCCTAGATACCCAGGAGCAAAGAAAAGAAAAGGCACATTTACTTATAAAAATATTTAATACATTTACATTGATATTATTGCATTTAGTTTGTTTGCTTAGTACTCAGGGACAGAGGAGAAAATTTTCAAAGCATTAATGCATTTTTGCTAATTAATCAATAGAGCCCACAAAAGCACCAGAACCCCTGACCCAGGGGCCATGAAATTCACAAGTTTAGAAGAGGCATCCTTTCTCATCATAACTATGTACTTAGTTTGTTTGCTTAATACCAAAGGGCAGAGGAGAAGATTTTCAAAGCATAAATTCACAATTTTTGTTCCCCTTCTCCAAAAATGTTATATGCAGAAAATGGTTGAAATTGGTTGAGCTCTTTCAGAGAAGAAGCTGAAAACATTCAAATGTTAACACATGACGCACGGCGATGGACGAAAACAGATAGCAATAGGTCACCTGGGTAAACTAAGGTGACCTAAAAATAAATAAGAATTCAATAAGCAATTATTTATGGAATCATTAATACTGTGCTGATTACAATTTAAAGGAAATAAGAGTGAAATGAGAACAATATGTACTAGGGGCAAAAATTTCTCCATATATACAATATATTGACGAAGTATAGTGACCTTTTTGAGAGCCTTTTCTTTTCTCGGTAACTGTTGTCAATGTCCCCCGGAGCTACTGTCCTAACAGGAAGCTGCAGACCTACAGATAAAAATACAGTCATTAGAGTACAAGAATAAATCTCAGAGGAGCAGAATTAAGCTACAGATTAAAATACAGTCATAAAAGTACAAGAATAAATCACAGAGGAGCTGAATTAAGCTACAGATTAACTAGAAATATGTCCATAGGACATTGAATGACCCACGAGGGTATATAAGTAACACAACATTTTAACACAAATTGAGAAAAGTGAGGTCAAGGTCAAAGGAAAGGTCAAGGTGAAAAAATATTGATGCAGTTGAATAGCTTACATCAGTATGTATCAGCATATGAAGTTTGACACTAATTTAAGAAAAGTGAGGTCAAGGTGAAAGGAAAGGTCAAGGCAAAAATTGTTGATGCAGTTGAAAATGTTACATCAGTATGTATTAGCATATGAAGTTGATAAAAATATTAGGAATGGTTTCTTTAAAACTGAGCTAAACACTAATTTAAGAAAAGTGAGGTCAAGGTCAAAGGAAAGGTCAAGGTCAAAAAATGTTGATGCAGTTGCATAGCTCTCATCAATATCTATCAGCATATGAAGTTTGATAAAAATATCTTGGATAGTTTCTTTGAAACTGAGCTTTGAACAGAGCTAAACGCAAAGTGTGACGGAAGGACAGACGGAAGGACATAAGGATGGAAGGACGGAAGGACAGAAGGACGGAAGACGGACATGACAAACACTATATGCCCCGGCCATATTCATGGCGGGGCATAAAAAAGTCATTAAAGCTAAAGTACAAGATTAAATCTCATTATAGAAGAAGCTGAATTAAGCTACCGATGAAAAATACAGTCAAACCTTGGTATCTCGAACTCAATGGGACCAAGAGAAAACTGAGAGATATCCAAGGATTTGAGATATCCAGGGTAAAATACTTCAAGAAGAAGGAGTTGGGACTGCCAAATCACTTCGACATATCCATTGTATTTAAGATATCAATGTTCAAGATACCAAAGTTCAACTTTACATTCATTACAGCTTAAGTACAAGAATGATCTCATATTTGGAGATAAATTAAGTTTTGATCATTTTCTTCTCTATAATTATGTTTCAAATAAAACATTGCAATTAGTTGTGCACTACAATTGTGTGTATTAATTAAATGCCCTCAGGAATATTCCTATCAAAGCTGGAAATTCCTAATATAGCTAGAAAAAAATTTCAACAGTGAAAAGGAAATATTTAGATGATTTTAAGAATTCTAATAAATTTAAACTGACTAATTATCTCTACAAAAATAATTTTCATTGTATTGTTTTCATCCACATTATTTAAAAGAAAATTATAATACAAGATAGGGTTGCTAATTTAATACAATTTGCAATAATATAAGGGTTGTCAATGAGTAACAGGTTAATTGTGTACTTGTTTGAAGGTCAACTTTTCAAATACTAAAATCAGTACCTGGTTACTTGAAGAAACAGAGAAATTAAACAGAATACAAATACAATTGAACTTCGGTATCTCGAACACTGATATCTCGAATACCATGGATATGTCAAAGTGATTTTGAAATCCCAACTACTTATTCTTTAAGTATTTTACCCTTGATATTCTTGCTTTTTGGGGGATATTTTATTCTCCCTGTAGAGGGTTGTCCTGTATGTTTGGAGAAATCCTTTAATACTGGAATGTTACCACCTTGATAGAGCTGTAACACTTACTTCATGAAGTAATCAGATGTGTGTCAAATTTACATTATTTTCTCTAAACTCTATAAACATCTTCAAGCATTACAAGAATTTGGAGATGGCAGACTTTGTAACATAATTCACTAAAGGTGTTTGTACATTATATAAATCAGCCATGTCCTGCAAAATAAAGGATAAACACATGTAATTACAATGTACATGTACACTGAAGGCATGCATTTAAACACTGCAATTACCTCCATCAACAGTAAACAGCTGATTACACGGTCCATTGACTGCCTCAATCAGAGACAATGCCTCGTAACCCGTAGGGACTCCCTCCTGGCTAACGGGGTTTTCTTCTCCTGTCTCACCCTACAAAATAAACATGACTCATCTGTACTCTTTTATTTCAAAATATTTTCTAAAAGAAAACCCTGAAACTTATATTATACAGCTAATATAAAATAGTTCAACAAGGGTAAATGATGTCATTCACCTCATTAAAAACAGCACAGTATTTACAGCATAACCAGTCAAGCATGAACACATTTGTATTTCTTTCATTAATGTGGACTTGATAGGGCATAACACACGTACATGTGATACAACAGTAAAGAAGATGACATACAACTGACCGTTTGAATATAACCTCATACCTTAAACAGACAAAACTATGTTGAGTACATGTATTAGCATGTATAAACAGGCTTAATTTTTAAACCTTATGAAAATGGTGAGGATATACAACAAAATAATCAATTAAAAGCTTGTTTTGTACAATGAATTCCCATAAATATAGTTCTTTCCAGAATATAATTTTTTCTTTAAAAACAATACAATCAAACATTTCTTTATTCAACAAAGGTGAAATAGCTTTTCTTTTTTATCTTTTGGCACTTATGTTTTACTGAAACTCAGATATTCCTTAATTATTGCAAATAACAGGAAATGGATCAACATAAACTTGCCACTGAGAGAAATATGAAGTACAACACGTATTTTTTAACAGATTAACTATAAATTTGAAAAATGGGAAGAAAGTGTTCAAAACAATTTTTTTTTTTATAATTGGTAACTTATTCAAACATTTTGTCAAAAGTTAGTCTACCTTATGACCTTTTATCATGAAGGTCATGGTGTCTGGCTAAGTGCATTACCCTCTATTCAGAATGTTTTGATTTTATGAAGGAGCTAGATTTTCATATTGCTTTCAAGAAATCAATTATCATTTTGTTTTCAATAGTAGTATGCACTCAAAAAACATTTTATTTTCAATAAAAAATCATTGCATACAGCTAATAACTTTGTATTTAAATATTTAATGTACATGTTAATGCAATGTACTGTAAACTTTTTTCTACACAAATTCCATTGTCTTTTTTTCAATCTGCTTTCTTCAGTACAGAAGAAAATAACTACTCCTCAATACTGTAGAAAATGAGGAATATTATCACTTTTAAACAAAGGGAACTTCATAGCCCTGCTGTAGATTTTTATTTATTTTTCCCTTAGGGTGAATTCACCATGCATCAGACACCCTCGTACTTCAACAAGTTCTAGCGATATCGCTATGGACCGAATATTATCAAAATGGATCTTAACAAGTAGTATGTCATTTAAATATAAATTTGTTCCCTTGTAAAACTTTTATCCCAAACTGACCCCCTCCCCCCCCCCATCCTACTCCCAGGAGTCATAATTTCAAAAAACTTGCATCTACACTACTTGAGGATGCTTACATATTTTAATATGTCTAATAATCATGACCCTACTGCTCTTGAGAAGAAGATTTTTAAATATTTCTTTCCTATATATTCCCATGTAAAACTTTGACACTCTATTTTGGCCCCATCCTTCCTCAGGGGTAAAAAGGAGTAAAAAGAATTTCAATGATGGTATAGAAAGCTATTAACAATGAAAATATTTTTTTTAAGTTCATAAGTTATGGCCTTGAAATAAAACTGTATTTATATCATGAAAATTAGGTCACATAATATTGTTGCTAATTGCATAAAATGTTGGAAGAATTGAATACATCAACCCAATTAACAGGTAATAAATGACAGAATCTTCTACTCTGAATAATTTATGGAACAATTTGTTTGATGCAAAACACCAGATCTACAGGAGAAAGACCCTCTTTCTCAGATATGGTGACAAAATGAAATATAGGCATAATATATGTATTTAGTGTAACATTCTGATTTTAGGGAAAAAATTTGAGATGAATTAGAGGAACAGATGAAATTTTACAAAATGAAACATAGTGAATACATCTGTTTTAGAATTTTATCTCCGTTAGGAGTTGGTCCTAACTTGCTTCTAACAGTTTGTTGTAGAAAATGAATATTGATATATCATATAGTATGGAGCACGGTAAACAAAAATACATATACTGTAGATCACAAAATATTCACGACACCTTATTTCCATGAGATGGGTGTTAAGCATTTATAAGCGAGACAAAATTTACATGAATTCTGACTACTGCCTTATATAATCTTAACTAATAAATATATATGCGAGAAGGAAATTTTCCCAAGGAGACAGTCTTGCGTAATTACGCAAAAATAAAGTTCTCACAGATAAAAAGTGATTTACAGTATTTTTATATAGGGTTTCCACTTGGGTAGGTCAATAGGATTATTCTTTTATATGAATTTATTTATGTTCTGTAGGTTTTCAAAAACATTAATTGCACTCATCTTAAGTTAATATACACACTTTTTGTCTCTAAGCTTAAACATGTCATTATTTTATATTTTCTTTTTTATTTCTTTTAAAACTGTAAGAGTCCAGACATGAGTTGAAACACATTTACATGTATTTTAGGGTCAGGGGAAAATAAATAGGGTCAATGAGGAAACCCGTAACTCTGAAACATTTTTTAGCTTAAGCAATTTAACATACTGGGTATTCGAAGAAAACTCTGAATATTCCAACATTACAAAAAAATATCTAAATTACTGATACAGTAATGAAAGACAGAATCAAATGAATAATTTTCAAGATTTTACAAACTTCACAACTGTTGCAGATTTTTACAGTGTTGTGACACTAACATAAAAAAAGAATTTAAAATTTAAAAACGAAATTCATAATTTTACATTGTATACGAAATATCTTTATTGTTGTTTGACATATTGTGGTTTTAATTAAAATGTGTCTGAAATTATATACATGTACTAAATGACTTTCAAAAGATTGAAATTTTCAAAATGCATCACCATTATCCACCCTTTGTGTAGAAATATCTTCATCTTTCTTTCTTTCATTTGATTTTCTTTCTTCCTAAAGCAATATTTACTCTTTTCTTTAGTGTAGACTCAGTTGAGGCACTTTATTTTGAGGTCTTGACTGAGAGTAAACTAATAGATGGGTCATGTAAAGACATCTTCTAAAAATGATACATTAAACCTGAACACAATTCATAAAAAGGAGAGATGTATGTTTTTCCATCATATTACTCTGCATTTTCCTTAACCAGTTATGGCCCCTAAATAAGCCATTCATGTGGTCACTGTTCAGTGTAATCAGTTTTTCACCAGTGTGGACGGAGGTATTTTACATAGCTATTGTAAAACTCTCCGTAGCTACAAAAGTAACAGTGTGCTTCTTCCATGGCAGAAGAGAAGTAAGTTATCAATTGAAAGAAACTTACATCAGTTGCAAGGTCAGTGCAGTACAAACAAACACAAATACACGTAAACGGCAATAAAATGTAAACAAAGGAAAAGTAAGATAACCCACATGAACACATCGTCCATTCCATGCAGGTACTAATGACAAGAAAGCAGTTTGATGTTACGAATGCGAAGAGTATACCCAAGTGCTGATATTGGTGATAGGAACACTAATATGACATATGCCTATTTACAAGTCGTATTTAGCTTTAATTGAAAGACTTACTGTTTGTACAGACAGTGGTTGTTTTTTCCTCATAGCGCGGATCTGCAGCAATGCTCTGAAGGGTGACCGACAAATGGGGCAACTAGAAGCCTGGTATCGGAGGGACTCGGCACAGTTACTACATAAACACAAGTGGCGACATGGAAGTATGAGTGTGTCACGCATGTCTGACATACAGATCACACACTCTGCTCCACTGTCTTCCACCTCATCATCTGGGTCTTCCAGCTGGAGGACAAATATAAACTTGGCATGATAAATGCATTCTCTATAAATCAAAACACTGCATTCAAAATCACTTTTCATCTACATGTACTTAGTCTTGTGATTTACCTTTGATCGATCTGTGTGTTTGTTCTCAATTCCATATATTTCCTGCAGAAGATAGATAAGCCCATCCACAAACTGCTTCTGCTTTAATGCTTTTATCATGTAGCCTCCATCCACAGAGCTCTTCTCCACCACAGCATAGGTCAAGTGACAATGACATGGATGATCTGGTCAAAAAGCATCAGCATTAAAAAACACACATGACACAGCATAGGTCAAGTGACAATATGACATGGATGATCTAGTCAGAACCTAAGACAATGACTTATCACATTTCTACATTCATTATGTCAAACTGCATACCATGTCGCATATTGTCTCTCTTTTTTTAACTTGTGTAGAAGAATCGCATGTCGCTTGATAGTACTCTATAGAAATGTCTCATTAAGTCAAGGGATTAAAGTCATAAATAATCATAGCACAGTTGGAAAGGTCTTGTCATAGGTAATGTACATGTGATATATGAAAGCCCTATCTTTTCTTATTCAAAAGTTATGACCAAGGATACAGTTTTTGTGCTGATAGACTAAATGAGTTGTAATGTTCCCTCATTTTTGCCAAAGCCAGGGAAAAAAATACATAAAGATACTTGTACCATATACACAATTATAGTAGCATTATATAAAAGTAACCTGGCCATTTTCTTAAAAATAAATATTCATTATATGTACATAAACAAAGGTAATCAAAGATTACGAAGCTCACCTCAACGAATGTTATCTATAAGTAAGGCAAATTTCACATCATATTTTTTTTCTACCGTATATACTCGCCTATAAGTCGGTCCGCCTATAAGTCGGTTGTATTTTTTAAGCTCAGATCAGAGGGTTTGACCTCTTAAAATACCAATCTTTTTATAACTCGCGTATAAGTCGGATAAAGAGTTTTGGACCAAAGTTTTACTCCCAAAAAACCGACTTATAGGCAAGTATATACGGTAGTTAGGGTACATCCCAAGATCAATATCCATGCAAGTTTGGTTTAAGTAGGACTTACAGTTACTTGGAAATAGACCTGCTCAAAAAACTTTTAACCTGTTTACTAATCAAGAAAATTTTGGTCAGTTCCAACATCCAAAGCAAGTCTGGAAGTTTCATCCTTAAATGCACCATCTATGCAAGTTTAATCATAACAGGCCATAATATTATATAGCTACTCCAAAAACAAAATTACCCTGATCACTCATCTGGAAAATGTAAGTCAGATTCAGAATCCAAAGAAAGTCTGGAAGTGTCCATCCCTAGATACATCATCCATGCTAATTTGGTTAAAATATGGCTAAAATTCACTCATGTGGAAAATCTAGGTCAGATCCAGCATCCGAAGCAGGTTGGTTAGTGTACATCCCTAGATGCATCATCCATGAAAGTTTGGTCCAGGTAGGGCTTATTGTCACTTGGGAATGAGACTGCTCCAAAATCTAAACCTGGTCTCATATGTGGAAAATCTAAATCAGATCCAGAATCCGAAGCAAGTGTGGTAATGTCTATTCCTAGATGCATCATCCATGCAAGTTTGGTCCAGGTAGGGCTTATAGTTACTTGAGATTGAACCTGCTTCAAAAACTTTAATCTGGTCACTCATCTGGAAAATCTAGGTCAGATCCAGCATCCGAAGCAAGTGTCGTAGTGTCCATCCCTAAATGCATCATTCATGCAAGTCTGGTCCAGGTAGGGCTTATAGTTACTTGGGAATGGACCTGCTTCAAAAACTTTAATCTGGTCACTCATCTGGAAAATCTAGGTCAGATCCAGCATCCGAAGCAAGTTTGGTAGTGTTCATCCCTAGATGTATCATTCAAGCAAGTTTGGTCCAGGTAGGGCTTATTAGTTACTTGAGATTGGACCTGCTTCAAAAACTTTAACCTGGTCACTCATATGGAAAATCTAGGTCAGATCAAGCATCCAAAGCAAGTGTGGTAGTGTCCATCCCTAGATGCATCATCATGCAAGTTTGGTCTAGGTAGAGCTTATAGTTACTTGGGAATGGACCTGCATTAAAAAACTTTAACCTGGTCACTCACCTGGAAAATAGGTCAGATCCAGCATCCGAAGCAAGTGTGGTAGTGTCCATCCCTAGATGCATCATCCATGCAAGTTTGGTCCAGATAGGGCTTATAGTTACTTGGGAATGGGACTTGCTCCTAAAACTTTAACTAGGACGCCGACGCTAATGCCGACGCCGGGGGTATAGCATCAGCTTATCTCGACTTCGTCGAGGTGAGCTAAAAACAAATAAGTATATGTGTAATCGAAGAAATGATTTTACCATCGTCTTCCACCACACAACTGATAATGACTGGGATAGTCTCCTTCACAGGGTCATACTGCCACTATTAAAAATAAACAGTAAGGTCATTTACATCATCAAAAGGTCAAAATGCTCAATTTTAGCTTATTAATGAAGTTGATCTAAACAAGTAAAATCTTAGCAAACAATTGTCAGGGAATTTTTAATTTTTTTTTCTTACAAACAAGTCTGACCTCTTGAATTAGATAAAATGCACAATGCTTTGATGAAATACAATAAAATGATACAAAATGTATACCTGTGCAGTGAAATCAAGCATTTTCATGGGAGTTTTTTGTTGTTTTACATGCAATTAAAAGAAGCAGTGTTTGAAATAACCGTGCGCCCGACTGCCCGAGACGCACAAATTTTGCAGCGGGCGAAAAAATTTGCTTGCATTAATGCCCAGTTGGATGTGTGAAAATTTTTGATAATTAAAAATCATGTATTTGATAAATCTCTTTCATATCAACTAATAGTATCGGTAGCAAAGTGTAACAAGGCAAGAGGAAGAATTCATCAGCCTATATAGATTCTGGTTCGAAGTTATGGTGACCTGGTTCCAGTCACATAATCGTTAAAAACAAATTTATAAAAGTCAATTATTTTCTCGGGCTAGTAGATCTTTGGCAGGGCTGACAACATTTACTAGCAGTCAGCCCTGCATGTCTGGCTTATTTTGCAGCGAGTTTCAAACACTGTAAGAAGAGACCCATGAATTCTTGTTCTCCACAAAATGTTAAAATTTCAAATACGTACATGATGTACATGTGCCAGTGCAAGTATAATACAAAAGTATAACAATTCTACACTTTTTTAACAACTGAATTTTATGGGTTTGAATTTATATAGTTACATAGTACTGAAAGATGTAACAGCTACCCGGGTATTTAAAGGAAAGTTCAATCTGATGTGATACATGTATCTTCCATTATGTGGTGTTGACAGATCTTCTACATAGAAAGAGTGTGTGTAAGCAGTCCAAAGATTTAACTTCATGTTGATTGATAAACTGTCAATAACTGACTCTGAGAGAAAAGTACATATGGATATACTGTTAATAAATTATTTTCCTGCCGCTGACTTAAGTTCAGTATCTGTGTCTTCACTGTCAATAACATACCTCCTCGTCACTGAATTTGCTGGGATCCAGGACATGTGTGGGCTGAGAGAACAGCTGATTAGCACCTCTTTTGTAATGATAGGTTTCTGAGTTCAGACATGGCTCCCTTGATTGAAACCTGTTATATAATAATAAAATAGCTTTCCAATAAACCTAATAAATGCATAGAAATATGTGTCACTTGAGCTTCATAAACATATCTATAAATTTTACTTGTAACTCAGACTAAAACATGATATACTTTTCATTGATCTGTTACAGTAACTTATTTTCTTTCTGTCTCTTTTCAGAAATTAAAATATTTTGATATAAGAATCTACAGATCAGTCTTTATTTATATTCTCCTACCAGAACTTTTATAGCTATACACATGTACTTGTACGACACTCCAATGCCATATATTTAACAATCATTCATTAAATTCAATTCCTAATACAGAAATTGTTTTTCCTCTTCAATCTTTCCTTTGATTATTCAATGGAAAAAAATGCATATACAGTGAAAACAGTCTAATCTGACACCTGTATAATCTGTTTCACTGTGAATTCTAACCCTTATTAAATTCCCATTTTACCATATTCCATGATCTTTACATTATGTAATCTGACACCCTATAATCTGTTTCACTGTGAATTCTAACCCTTATTAAATTCCCAGTTTACCATATTCCATGATCTTTACATTATGTAATCTGACACCCCATCTATTCCAACACAAACTTGTCTCCCAGTGCATGTCAGATTTTAGCCATGTTTCATTGTAATGTTATTCAGCTTTCACTTTGTTCTTACGTTATCTGTCCATTGTTGACATCTTCTGTAGCAAAGTAGTATACAGTTATTGCACACTTTGAATCTGAGTCAAATGTGAACTCAATGTTGTACTTTGTATTGATGGAGTCTGTTTTATCTCCCCCAGAACCATCACCACTGTCATCTACCCTGTAAAACAAAGTTCTTATACCAATAACTTAGGTCTCATATAATCACTCATCTACCCTGTAAAACAAAATTCTTGTACTTATTACTTAGGTTTTATATCATCAGTCATCCACCCTGTAAAACAAAGTCTTATATAATCAGTCATCTATGTTAATATTACAACCAATAACTAAGGTTTTATATCATCTATCCTGTAAAACAAAGCTCTTGTACCTATAACTCAGGTCTTATATAATCACTCAACTACCCTGTAAAACAAAGTTCTTCTACCAATAATTTAGGTCTTAATATATCGTCAGTCATCCACCCTGTAAATCAAAGTACTTATACCAATAACTTATGTCTTATATCATCACTATTATTCCCCATTGTCAAAGAAAATATCTGTAGTTCTTATACCAATAAATGTATCTTAGGTTTTATACATTTAAGAATGTTAGTCACATGATCTAATCTGTTGAAAAGTCAATATTGTTAAAGGAGCAAATTGTGCAGCATGCTGAGGAAAACTGAATCAAAATCTACACAATGTTCAAGAAAATTGATCAAGGAATTCTGAAATGCCCAATCCTCTTTTTATGCAAAGCAGCATGGTGACTGTAGCAGGGATTAGCAGATTTAATGGAATCTCCCTCCACAAAACTGGTAAATGTATATCCTCATTAAACATGCTTCAATATTAGACATAATAAATACATCTTGGCTTTTTCTGATTCAGATTTTGTTAAGAATTATTCAGTAAGTCTGGAATCTTCAGAGTTATAGGAAGTAACCGATGTTTAAGAAATATAACTATACAAATTTATCTGAGGTAATAAAACATGTGAGCAAAAATTATATTATGACACAGAATAAATGAAGGCTACAAAAGCTTACTGAAGTGTATACTGTGGAATCATAGTTCTCAAATATGCAAATTGACAATTCCAAACACTCAGTATTAATCCTGAGAGTGAAAATACTGAAAATTAACAAGTATTCAAGTATGCAATTCTAGCATTAAAAATTCATAAATAGTTCTACTGAAAATATTCCCTGACCAGTAGGGCTGGGTATTGGCTGGAAATTTCATATTGCAATATACTGCGATGTTTTTCAAGTGTATTGCAATTTGTATCGCAATACTAAATACTTTCACTAGAATTTAGACTGATCTTTTCTCTTTTTTATAGAGTAACTTTCATCTAAATGCAGAATTTATATAATTATTATAAATAATTAATAAAAAATAGTTCTTGTAGATTTAACTACAGATATGCACCAAAATGCACCCATACATCAGCTACTGCCTTACTCTTTGACATGATAGAATTCTGACATCTTTAATTTTATATCTTATTTTAGGAATTCTGAGTACATAACTCAGTTCCAAGCTTATGCATTTTGCTGGTATTTCAGTACTGAAAAAAATGTATCACAATACGTCTTGTCAACAAACCACAATAAACTGGAATATTGGTATTACTGAGAAGCCCTACTGACAAGAGTTATTAAAACTGTTTCCTGATAATAAATCTATTGAGTGAAAATTAACTTATTAGAGTAAGAAATTAAAAGCCAGCGTGCTACAATATTAATTATAAAATAAGACAAGTAAGAGATGAATAGCATTTAAGCAAGATAAACTGAGAATGTCATGAGACTTTATATCATCTTTATCCAATGTTCTAAATTGTTAAATATAATTTTGATTGTATTACTTGAGATGCCTTACACCAATACAAATATTGTTAATTGCCTTCCAAACCAATACCTACTTGACAAATTTGAGCGAGTCCTTACGAATATTGAGGAGGCTTTTCAGTGGCTTTGTAGGCTCACTTCCAGATGAGGAAACTTGGTATGGAAACTAAAACAGAAATCAAATCATTTAACATTTATTTATCAATCATTCTGATGTAACACATGAGCAAGCTAAAAGTTCATTTTCAATATAAGGTCAAAATTTTTCTTGCTCTTGATAAATGGCAACACATCTGAAACACATATAAACTTTAAGATAGAATAAGATAGAGCACTGGGTTATTCAAATTATAAATATTTAACCAAAAAAATATATGTTCCTCAAGGACAGTATCTGTAAAAAGCTTTAGGATTTATTTGATTTTATGGTTCTACAGGTAGGTTTACTAATTCATTCTGTCCACAACTTTTGTCTTGTGGGAGGATATTTGATTAATATGTACATGGCCTTAACCACAGTAATTAAATACTGCTCTTACAAAGCAATAAAAACACTCTTACACAAAGTAACAATACTATTCATGAAAATATATGAAGGAATGGAAAGTGGTATCAAGAAATTTAATGTTAAATCCCGGGATCATGAAAGTAGACTAAAATTCACTGGAAATGAAAAATTGTACCATATTTTGAATTATTTACCAGAAACTGCCATTTTTTTTTAATTTTTGCTCTCACAACACCGGAAATCTTGTTTGACATGTGACTTACTAGGTTAATGTAAACAAGGTGTTAAACATTTCTCACAATAATTACATTGTAATTAAAATGTATCAAAACTTCTTTTAGGTTGAATTGTTTCCCATAAAAAGGTTTTAAATTATACCTTGTTAAAATTGTATCAGTAGAAAGACGTTTCAGAGAGAAAACGACAAGAATCAGATCAAGTCTGTGTGAATTTTCAATTCAAAGGACTATATTCGGTAATGACCTATATTTGCCCCCAAAATCAAACTTTGACGGAGAAATATATAATTATGTTCTAAATCAGGGGAATATCTGCAGACTTCAGAGCACTTAATATTTTCATAAGCCATGATGCCATATGTTCGATATGACGTCAGAAAGATGACATAAATTCAAAATTTCCATGATTTATACAGTAAAAGTGTATATTATGTCAATAATTTGAGTAAAAGTCACCGCGCGCAGGTCTGCTCCAACTCAATATTTTGATATAATGTGTAGAATGATAATATCAATGAAATATGTAAATATTGTTCTTGAGCAGGCCTGCACCCGATAAATTTTATAGTAAAAATTGAATAAATTTTGTTCATTTTTTCCTTTTTCTGAAAAATAACACAAAATCCGAATAGTTTGTGACGTCATAGAAACAAAAGTTGCCAATAATCTACTTCGAAACTATAATATTTTTTGTTAATTTAGATTTCTCACATAATATATACAATTCAGCACATATTTCAAGAAATTTTCAAAATATGACTTTTGTGGGGACAAAAATGTGCATATACCTCATATATTTCTTTAATACAATTTTTTTTTGGCTCTGCTTAGCTGTAAGTATTGTCCATTCCAAAACAAAGTAAGAGAGTTATTTGATTATCATGAAAAAAAAATGCTGATGACTGGAGACAGAGACTCTTGCATGGTACACTGTATTATGGACATTCTCTTAACAAAATTCAATACTGACTGGGAATTGCTGAAATTCTTAAAGTTGCAAAAAGTTGCTTGCAATAAGCAATTAACACTACATGCAGTGGTAATTTGTTGATTTGAAATTTAGTAATAAAAAGGAACCTTTCATTCTGTTTTGGGGTCAATATTTTTGTAGTTTTTTGATAAACAAAATACAGTATTTTCACCTAAATTCCAGTATTTTCAAGGCTCCTGCACAGGATTTGGGTCTTAAAAAATATCACATGTATGATCCTGATTGGACCTTCATATAGTAGAATTACAAAAAGCTCTCAAAACTATATCATATCAGGGTATTAACACTCGAGATCTTTGTACATACTGGAATAGGTTTATTTCCTAGGAAGTTGAGGTCCGAGTTTTCCCCAAATAAATAGGACTCTGGCTGACTCATGTCAAATCGTTCGCCTCCCATGTAGAAGTGACTCCCAAAGTAGTTACCTGTTCAGAAAAATCAACATTTTTTAAGAATTTCTCACAAAAATGTACAAGTATGATTAAAGTACACTGTATACCAACTATTATTTCCATCAGCTGTTATTTGCAATTCGTAAGTTTAAAATCCATCCACAACAATTAATTTATTAACATACACAATATAATAAATGGTTTGTGGTAAGAAATATTCATGAGTAACTTTATTAAAAAAATGGTTCATAAATAGCGGTATGCAGCTAAAGATTTGCTGAAACAATATAATTATGTCTATTGAATTAATAATAATTTTTATCTATAATAAAATTATTAAGCATTCTTTTATTTTTGCCTTTTCCTTTTCTCTTTTTAAGATAACTATTAACTTTTTTTCTGTTTTTTCTTTTTTATTCTAATAAATGGTGCCATTTATCCTATACAGAGGTCTATTAACATTTTGATTATCTCACTATAGGCAAACTGGCATCATACAAATTTAGTGTGAATTAGTTGTACAGTGCGGACTCGTTATTACGGTGATGGTTTTATAAGATAGAACGCTTATTACGTTGTAAATTCAAAGCACAAAACCATTTCTTAACAAATCTATACAAAATAGAACCGTTTATTACGATGTCCTAAAATGCCGGGACTCGGTATTACGATGTAAAAATTCTGTCCAAAATTTTTTTTCACTCCGTGTTTATTCAGTGTTGATCGACGGTAGACACTTAAGGAGATGCTAAATAAACATTGAAACACCTGTGCTCTGACAGAGTGTTAACTTGCAGGGCCGTTAGGTGATTAGTGACGCTTGACTGCACACACCTTGACTGTTCTAGCGAGGTCAGCAGAACTGGAGACATCGTGTCAAAGCCATTGTCAAACAATTAAATTTAAACTGTTTATCATAAACGTAATCTCTAGATTATCTATGTCTGTAAAGTTTATTTTATCTTTTATACTACAAAATTATATGGATGTTAACTTGGAGAAATATTTTTTTCTTTATCTAAGTCAGTGCCTGGGAAGGTCAGAGAACAGGTGTGGCCAATGGCCTCCCTTTTCATGAAATGAGGCTATTTTGAAATTTTAGGGACCGAGATAAAATACAATGGGGCCATTTTAAAATATTCCGTATTTTAAAAAAAAATGGATTTATGAGATTGATCACTGTTCGTTATTTTTACCTTAAAATTAATATCTTCGACAACAAAGTTTAGGTGAATGGAAAAAAAATGCTATTATAGGAATTGATAAATCATTGTATCCGACACTGACTTGGTGATTTTTTTTTACTGTACATAAGATCTTCATGCAACACAGCAAGTATTTCGAGAATTATATTAAAACTAAAAGCACCAAAGAGTTTCTTTTTTTAAATGCTGATTTACAGATTTAGGGAAAGGCCAAGATAAGTAGACTTCGTTGTTATGGTATTACATTGTAAGAAAACATTTTCTATGTGTGAGACTTTCGTTAAGTTAAATTTGTGATGTTATGATGGCCAGTTGTCTAAAATGATCTTTCAGTTACGAACCACGTGCGAGCATTTCTGTTTCTTTGGCAGCAGAATGTCATTATGTTAAATGGTGGTTCAGGTTTTATAATTCCATACTGACATCAAAATTTGATGGAATCGTCTGTAATGCATCGAATGGGATGAATTTAGAATTTAGGAAATAATACATGCTCGCGGTTTGCAGAATGTTTGCAGGATGTGCCGCAGGCCGCAACAGACCATTATTGCACTGCACCATTTCTGGCAGTTTGCGCATATGATACAATATGACGTGGCCCCTTCTCAGGCCCTAGCTGGTATTAAAGTAGGAAAAAAGGGACAAACATTTTTGTTTCAATTTTAGACAATTTCTGGTGTTTTATTCATTGCAATGAAATTTAATTTCAGACCTGCATGCATGTGTACCAGAGACTTAGCCTAGGGAGAAAATGTACCAAACGAGGATTTGAATCCATGTCCCCTGAACATGTGCTTTACCAACTAAGCTATCTGGCCATTGAATTCTGGCACAAGCAGTACTTTATAATAACATATTTGCTAGGTGGCATTGTTGGGCACGTAGTGTATAAATATGTGTGAAGCAGCAGAGTTGAGTCAATTGTGAAGTTAATGCTGAACCAGCAAGGCAACAAACAGACCATTTATGACCAGAGGTAAATTTCACAGGGTTGTCCCTAAGAATTAAAATAGCAGGGAACATTTAAAATGTAGAAGGGGATCTGGGGTTCCTCCCCTAACAGGGGGATGAGGGGGAATACCAGAGTAATCGGGGGATTACGTCGACGTCATTATAGGCAGGGAAATTCCCTTGCCCCTTGGTCTTAGGCAGGGATGGGGTAATTGTAATTAGTATTTGTAATTGAGTAATTAATTGTAATTAATTACATTTTTAAAAGTAATTGGAAGTAATTTGTATTTGAGTCAGTCTTCAATTACAAGTAATTGAATGTATATATTAAATACATTTCCAAAAATGTCATGTATTTTCAATTACTTTTCAATTACATTTCAATTACTTTTTTTTAAGTTATAAGTTTAAAAAGGTATCTTTTCAAGATACACAGTTCAGTATCCCTGTGTGGCATGGGCTTGTGTTTGAAAATCTGATGATCATGATTAAAATGAACTCAAAACTGTAAAAACATTTCATTTGTTCTCAAGATTTTTTAAAAATAAAACTTAAGTAATTGAAATGTATTTAATTACATTTGTCAAAGTAATTGAGAGTAATTAATTATCAATGTAATTGTAATTGCAAGTAATTGACAAAATTATCAATGTGTTTGAAAGTAATTAATTACATTTCAAAGTAATTGACCCCAACCCTGGTCTTAGGGACAACCCTGTTTCAGTTAAGGAAAATAAATAAATATTTAAAGATTTAGATGTGATGGAACAAGTCTTTCGTGGCTTAATAAGATATTTATTATAAAGAAAGTGACCCTGGGAGCCAGCAAGAGCTGTAAAGAGCCTAATTGCAGGAACTGCACTGTAAGTGCCGGTATTCAGCTTGTAAGAGACAGGAGTCATAGGAGCAAACTGAACTATGTGAGCATAAAATCACTCAGAAGTCAGAATATCTTTAATTTATTGTATAGGCTATAATTGATTAAAGACAAGTAGTCTTAATATTCATCTGTATATACTAGTATTGCTAAATCATATATTTGTATTATTTAGAACCTGTCAGGTCCTCAGAAAGTTAACTGAAGGGATTCAGTCGCCTCTGCTATTTGTAATTATGTTATAAGGTTTCACGCTACGATTATTTTACAAATTTAATAGATAGAGTTGTATGCATGAGTATATAGGTTCAATTCATAAAATTTATTTTCTGTGCTAGGCCTTGTTTTATTCTCTTTAGAGAAGTGGACAGGTCCACTTCTCTAAAGAGAACAGGCCTTGTTTGTATGATTATACCTTAATAAATAAACATATTAACGTTTCTTAATAAATAAACGTATTGACATTTTGTTTTTATTGGAAGTATATATGATTCCCTCCCTAGCTGTCTAAGCTGTGTTTTCAGTATGTACATGTTATAGATTAGATACACTAAAATTGAGTAAAAAAACGTTAAAACAAGAAATCGTGTGCTTGTAGACTGTTCAGACACTTTTGGTACAATAAGTACCCTTACCGATTTTAGGTGGATACCGATACGCATTCGTTGATGCTATATCGACTTCTTCTTCACCTGTATCACGACTTGCTATGCCCCACATTTTGATATTGTTTACCAAAATCCAAGATGGCGACTTCCGTGTTTATTACTGACGTCACAAGAACCTGTAATAATTGAGTGGTAATTTTTACCCCAAGAAAAATTTCTTTTCCCAACGAAAATCCTTCATTTAGAAGTACTTAACTTGCTTTTACTAAAAATAAATTAATTTATAAACACGACACGATATTTCCGAGTGTTTTTAATTTATAGCCACACCCCTGTTTCTATGAATGAGCCAATAAAACATTACTATTCCCATGACGTCACCCATCAATCAATCGTCCATCGAAATAACAACATTGTTTTGGCCTTATCAAGGGACTAAACGGCAGCAGGAAATTTGCGAATAAATCCATGAAAATGGATAACCTCAAAGAACAAGTTATGATAAACCATTTTGTATCAGCCACAGGAGTACATGCAGAACAAGCAAAACAGTTGTTAGCGGCTTCAAATTGGCAATTTCAGGTAATGTTTATGTATTCGTAAATTGTATTTATCATGGCGCATGTTGATTGTGTACATCGCCACCTATGAACGACTGACATTCCAGACAAATTATGAATTGGTGAGGTTAATTTTGAAACTGTTCTATGTTTTTCAGACTGCTCTTAGTATGTTTCTTCAAGAATCATCAATCCCAACGTGTAGAACATGTCACGGCAATCATTCAAACGCAAATTACCCGGTAAGTGAGAGCCCTCCATGATGGATGACATCACATTCTCCTATATTGTTGCTTTTTGTTGTGTTTACATTAAGACCACGTCATTGTTATGGCCCTCGGAGCACTTAGTAATGTGTTCGTGTTTTTAAAATAGATCTTACTGCAAATATTAACTTGACGAAGCAGCTGTACCGACAAGAATGAAAAGATATGTGTTTCTTTGAAGTGTTTTAAAACATACTAATTTATGACCGAAAAAATAAAGCCAATCCCATTTTCTTTTCCAAAAATGGAAAAAATCCGTTCAAAACGAAAGTTGACAAAATAAGTATAGCTTCCTGTTACCAAGTGTGAATCAGGCAAAAATCTTTATATTTAATGGTTTACGGGAATTTTTCGTCGGGGGGGGGGGGGGGGGGGGTTAAATAGAAATTATACATTCAACTGAAAAAGAAAATAAAATTAAAATTGAAAAAATTGCACTATTTTTTTACTTCCCATTATTGATTAAAATGGACACATATACAGTATCAAGCTAAAAATGGCAACAGCTACACAAAATCTTGTAAGTGGTATAATTCCTTATTGAAGAGAAACTAGGGAAATTACAAACAGGGAATTCATGAAAAGGATGCATACATTATTAACAATCAAACAAAAAATGGAAGTACAGACTGATTTATCTTTCTCCTTGGAAACCCCTCATGTGAATTGGAACCCCAGTTTGTAAATTTTAATTTAGAGAACCTCTGAATACATCAAAGTAATGAATAAAATCAGAATGATGATTTAAACATATATCATACAGTATTTACATGCTGATACACATTATAACAAACTTCTGAAATCCAAGTTGACACCATTTTTACACTTCCGAAACGGTAGACAACAAATAAGTTGATCAGATGATATCTATAAACTAGTCATTACTAAGAATAGACTAACAATCAGAATAGCTGATTCATTTGCTCATTGTTTTAATTTTGTGCACTTGCATGGACAGTCAGTGGGAAATTTAAAAATAAAATAAAGAACAAGGACTTTATTTTTATTTGGTTTTAGCTAAATTTTCAGTTGGCACTCGTGTAAACCATTTTTGAAAAAAAAAAATGTTGGCCTAACTGGATGATAATATTGTGCATGTCTGAGCCTATGCATACCAGACTTGGACTGCTTATAGAAGTATTTTATGATCAATATGATATTCCATGTCTTTGTTGTACATATTAAAGCAAATGATACACTTAGTAGTATGCCAATAGGAAGAAAAATTGTTTGGTTTAATCCAGATTATAGTTGGCAAATAAAACCTGTACAAAAGAACAGACGAGAACAGAAAAAAAAATATTCTACAAAAAATTTAGAGATATTGCAAGTAAAAGATATTTTATCAGTACTTGTGGTATTATGTAAAGATCTTTTCAGACTTTTTAAGTAAACAAGTAGAGACCATCTGCATTACAGTGTTGTCAACAAGTGTACACATGAATGTACACTTATATTTAAATATCTGCATAGCTAGGGTAAATGTTTGTAAACATTAAGACTGTTTTACTCTCCTTGAATATTTTTACAGTTAATGAAACTGTAAATATCTCTCATGTTCTTATATTGAAGAAAGAATTTTTTTGTTTGAGGAATGGATGCTAAAGATCTGCTTTTTGTACTTCAATCAGTCTCTATAGGATAGTCTTCAATATGACTCGCAAAGTAAACAAACATCAGTTTCTTCTCAAAGTTTAAAGAAATGAATCATACAACTTCTAAAGATATTCAATGCATTGGCAAGAGAAATCTTGATTATTTTTTTGAGAATATATGTCTTTTCTAACCTATGTATAAATTAGGTTAATTATGTCTATTGGTGAAAGTTTTTCCCCACTGTGTAAAAGTGTTAACATTGTATGGAGTGTTGCATACCTATTTCATAGCATTTGATATGTTTTCATCTATAAACTGGTGTACAAATACCATCAGGGTTCTCACTAGGATTTTGTTAACTTGAGTCCCAGGACTCAAGATTTCTGAGAAGGTTGCGTCCCAGCTAAATTTGATGCGTCCGAGAATAATTATGTTGAGTCCCAACTAAATTATTGCAGTATCCCTCCATCCAAACATCAATATAAATCTTTACCATTTTATCAGTTTGTTTACGCAATATTAACATATTCAAGTATATAAACTGGTAATGCATTCAAGCCATATTCTAAAATACACGCGTAATCAATTGCCATAAAAATTAACTTGGTGTTTATAAAGCTAAAATTAACTGTTGCATAATCAACTTGTACCCGAAAGTTGACTGTATACAATCACAGGTGTCATGTGCAATGAGGCGTAACTAATCCTGTCGGTCGCCTGCACTGGGTGAAATTCACGAGATAATCAAGCCGCATTGTGTATACAAGCAGTAAATATGGTTTCTATATGTAGATAACACTCAAGATTCAAAAGTGTGTGTGTGTTGTTTTTTTTTTTAAAAAAGTTGCAGTGTGTTTACAGCTGTCGGAGTTTGGCATGCGACATTATTATGACTATGGACTATAATAAACATGAAGTATCTTAATTATGATCAATCCCTGTTTAAAAAAAGAGAAATAAGTACAAGAAAAGTTATTTCTTGGATGAACTTTATGATAGTTACAGGAAGGTTTCAATTAAATATTTCTTTGACAAATCCCAACATCTAAATTCCCCGTTTTTGAAATTACCCGAATTTTCTCGCTAACGAGGACGCGTCCAATCAGGAGTCCGCGGACGCATCGTTTTTAAGAACCTTGCGTCCCAAGTAATTTTGCTGCGTCTAGGACGCAGATTCTTGCGTTATTGAGAACCCTGTACCATATTAATTAATTTTTTCTTTGCAACTTGAGCAGTTTGCCAATGAGCAGAATTATTGAACAGCATATTGGCACTGTGGCCTGTCTAGGCAGTGCGCACATTACTAGGTAAACAAAGAGCGCACCACAAACAATGAACAGTCAGAGTAGTGGAGTATTTAACATGTTTAAAGGGTTAGAACGAATAGGTCATACTGTGCTAGGTGCTTGTTTTGAAGACATGACCTTGAAGACCTCAGACATAATGTAAACAAGTTGAAGATGATTAGACAGTTTAAGGGCAGGTACTAAATTTCTGCAAAATTTTATTGAATTTCTTGCAAACTCTTAGTCTCTTATAGTAGGAGCTAGATAAAAATAGATTTCCTAGAACCAGACCATGTTATGCATGTTATGTAAGAAAGATTTGTTTATCCTATATAAGTACTGACTCTAATGAATTGTTGATCAGTTTATCTAGATGTTCCCCTTATAATGATCAGTTAGTTTTATATATAGGGATGGAATTATCATATACCAGTACATGCTTTAAGGTTTGTACACTTTAGCCTGTATTAAAAAGGTGACACTGGCTGAGCAGTGATTTATTAAACCATCTCATTCTCTAACAATATCTAGCATGTATTGTAATTAATTCAACCATGTGCCTGTCTGTCATCAATACAAAAAAAAACTTCCGTGATGGAGTTATATAATGGAGAAAAAATTAAAATGTTTGTTTAGTTGGTATTACTTCCTTTGAAAAAGTGATTTTTGATATATAGAAATGTAAATATATTGTCCTTTTAGTACAGAAAGCCCATTGATTTGTTTCCTAGTCCACACATTTTTTTATGCCCTATTGATTATAGAATGAAATTAAGATCTTATATATAAGGCTCAAGCAACAATCATACAGTTGTATTTAAAATTAACCACAGATTGAAGGTCAGCAAGATTTAACAGTATTACAAAAGTAGAAAACATTTAGAAGGCTTTTTAGAGGTTCATTGTTGTACTAATTTGGCCTGATAAAAACTTATAAAAGTATGACACATACTTCAGTAATAAATGCAGTGGGTCTAAGTATATTTAAACTGAAATGAAATTCAAGTAGATTGGCCACTTGAAATATTACAGACTTTTTATTTATATGCATCACAATTACTGTGTACATACTGAATGAATAATTACTACTTACATTTTAAGTAAACTATGTTTAGGATGTACAATTCAACAGTAATTGTAGTAAATAAAACTCTGATCATACATGTACCAACATAAACACCGTTTAGTGATGGGAAATATTTGAAGGGCTTTGCTTCTTTTCAAAGTGAGACAATAAAGAAGTGCATCAAATAGTGAAAGGTGAACCAACTTAATGAAAAAATATAAAGTTCTAAAATGTTACAAAGAAGTGGTTTAGGGAAAAAAGCTTTAAATGGTGTTCAGTAAAAATTTGATGACCATAAGGCCCATGTGGATAGGCTTAATCGGCAAGTTATTGGTACTGGCCGTTATTATTCTAAAGAAGAATGAATTACCTGCACAATCATTTATAATTATGTTCATTAGATTTCTCTTGTTGTATGCAAAATTAATTTTTAAAAATCCTTAAAATATGAAAAAGCAGGAAACTTCATTGCTGATTTCTTTTTATTTTTTTTTCAGTTATGTGCACCAGCAAATACTCCAGCCACACCCCCTAATTTCCCTGATGCATTGTTAGCATTATCAAAACTCTCCACCACAGAAAAATTTAGTTCCTCCCCATACGCCACCTCACCACAGCAAGTAGCCAATTCTCCCAAAGGCATGGAAATAGAGGCACAGCGATAAAACTGACAAGCTCCCAGGCAAAGAACAGGAGCATGGCATTTGGGACAAGTTTGTTGTTTTGTCAGATTGGACCACTGTGTTAGCTGTAGTGATTTCAACATTGAAGAAGGATGTGAAAAGTGCTTAGATATATACACAGGGACTGAGATGAAGACTCGTACTGAAGTTTTACATTACATATTGTCAACCTTGTTGTATTTCCTCAATGTGTCTGATTTTTTTTCTTCTTCTTCTTCTTTATGATAATGAAATAGTTTGAAGATTGTAATGCTCTTTAAGTAAACTGATTTGTTATTGGAAATGAATTGTGTAAACATCTCAAGTTATCAGATAAATCAACTAAAATACTAGGATTGCTTGTAGATTTGTGTCATCAATAAGAATCAATTTTGTTTGTTTCCAGCTTATTTTTGATCTCAATATTTATTTGCAACTTGTTTTATGATCCATGCATGTACACAGTGAATGTAAAGAAATGATACCATATTTGTCCCAGTAATTGTCGATGTTCATAAAATCATTTTTATTATTAACCTTGCAGTCATAAACATACTCCTTTGAAAGTAATAACTGGATGTTTTATTTGGTTTTTGAATGGCATTGCACCATTGGGAAAGACCATGCTTTACAATCATTATAAGTAAAGAAAGTAACTGTATATTGTATGCATATTGTATACATAGTCATAGTGCCTATGGCATTTACTGGAATGAATATGGTAAATTTTCAGTTGAAGAAATGGTTTCAGATTTCCCACTTGTCATCTGAATCAAAAACATTCTTTTGTAGTTGTGAAAATTCTTAACTTTTTCTTTCCTGGTGATTAGCACTGATTGAATTACGCTTTTGGCAGGCAATACTAAAATGGCTTTCTTTAATAAAAGTCTCCGTCCAGTTTAGCAATATGTAATGAAATGAAAGATCATTTGATTGTATTTCCTCAGAATTGTGTTACTTTTATCAAAGAAGGTCAAATTTTTTGTAGGTCATTTGTCTGTATTTATGTACTGCCAATTTTTTTGTTAACCTTAGTAACATTTATAGCTTTCCCTCCCCCTTGCAATTTTTATTTTACCAGAGTATTTGTGCTATTATTTAATCATTAATACAGGTATTTCTAGACTTTCTGTGATGGTCTGGACTTATTGTCAGAATTATGAGTAACATCATTGCATGACCTTTAACTGAGGTCCCTGCGATGAGGTTATAAATCAATGTTCCTCATTATCATATGTTTGTATTTTGAAGGAATATTGTGTATAATTGGGGTAGGATCTACCCTTCATTCTTTGGAACTGTTATTGACTGACTAAACATTTTCTGTACATAGTTATATTTGATGGAATCATGTTTCATTAATTTTTGTATAGTTACATGTACTATGTATGTATGTCATTAACTCCACATGAGATGAAAATAATGTTAAAAAAATCAGTTTTTTTAAGTTCTGTAGTATCCATTGTTCATTAAACTTACTCAGGAACTTAAAAAATTACTCTGTGTTCTGACTTTGACTAATTAGAAAATTTAATAGGTGTGTCTGGGAATATTGGAAGGAAGTTGCTGAAAAGAGCTTCAGTAACTAAGATTGTATCAATCAGGATATGTTCATGTCCTGACCTCTGAAACATTTGAAGGAGGTTGTATTACATTAAAATCTGCTGCCTATTGTACATGACATTAGAATACTGATACAGTGTTGAAATTTGACCTTGGTTTGCACACATGAGTGTTTGACTATAAAGATGTGGTAATTGTTTAATTTAAAAATGTGTGAACTTAAGTGACATGAAGATTTTCAGAGGACCATTACTTTATGTTGGGTAAAATGACCATTGGCAGCCAGTTGCTAATATGGGGGTTCTCGGAGCCATTGCCAGGTTTCTGGAAAAGGGGGGGGGGGGGTGCTGGGAGGGGTACCCCTCCAACAAGCCAGAACATGTTATAAATGGGTACCATTTTCGTGGGCTCTGGTGCATTGGAGTCATTTCAATACATACCATTTGAACAACATATCAATAAACCTATAAATAATGATTTGTTAATTTTGTTTCAAAAAGAATACTTTAGACAGTGTTTTTTTTTTTTTTTTTTTTTTAAGAGAGTGTCTAATAACCCCCCCCCCCCTTGTGTACATGTAAAAAGGAAAGGAAAAATGTATCTTGTCTTTATAGTTCTTTGAACCTTGTCTTTAGCAAATATAACCTATCATTGGGTCATACTTTGACATATTTCAAACCAATTGTTAGGCCATTGTTTTTATACTAAATTTGGCTACGATATAGTCCGTCTATCTGATCAATACATATGGCTCATGGCGGATGTGACCGGTCGACAGGGGATGCTTACTTCCCCTCGGCACATGATCCCACCTCTGGAATTTCCGGGGTCCATGTTTTATGCCCTGTTCACAAATTGTTAATAGGTTTTTGAGATGGACATCTGTTCGATCGTTATTTTCACCCTTTTTGCTTTTCCGTCTTTAGGACACTATATAGGCCCGTTGGAAGCCATTTCAGTTGGGGGGGGGGGTGCAAAAAAATATTTTCAGGTGGGAGGACTTCCAAGCAAAATTCGTTATTATGGAGGCACAACACAGGCCCTAGTTTCGTATACGGGAAACCCCTAGAAAAGACCCCATTTACGAAACAAGTGCCTGTGAGGCACAAGCATTAAGTAGCCACGTTTTCTATTTCAGCAAAATTTATTGGGGCACGCCCCTACCCCATGCCCCCCCCCCATGTGCCTCACCCCGTTCCTACAGCTATGCTATATAACTTCAACAGAACTACATGTACACAATACTGTATGTGTTTAGCACAAATATTGTTTATCGATCAATGCATATCAATAGCACATATCTATAAACGAATATTGTTTATAGAGGTGCTATAGTGATATCAATTTTGTACTAAACTTCAAATATCAAGTCACTGCACTTTTTAAGTTAAAAAAAATCCATAAAAATCTTCAAAGTATAAATTAGTAGTTCTATTTACTATCGACCCACTATTTTTAATAATAATATTGAAAGAGGTAAATGAATAAAAATTACATTTCAAAATATTCAACAGTGTTCAAGTTCACAAATAATTTATTTTCTGCCGTTTTGTATGAAATATGTATTGATATACGATATATCCATGGTCAGTCATTTGCAATACTGGGATCAACACAAATTGACACACTGACCTAGTCGAACTAATCCACCAAGCGGCACGTTAATTGCCACGCGTTTCTTTATTTACATTACATATGTGGCTTTATTTATATCCTTGCTGCTTCGACGTGTCTCGAATCTAGTGTTTATATACTTATGTATACAGCTCACAACTTATGCCTTGAGTCGGCATGTGTATATTCCATTTAACTAAACCATGTAAACTGTAGACAAAACAAAACTATCTTTGGACCAAAGAGTAGAATATGTTTAAAAATTTACACAATCATAAACTTCTCTCAAGTTTAAACATTGCTGTGATGTCATTTCTTTGTTCTAATTAACATTTTGTAGTCTGATATTGATATTTATATGCAAATATTGACTGGGGTTGAGGGTAAGATTGAATATGTTAGCCCTTGAGGGGTGAAATATTGCCCGATGCGGAGAGGAGGGCAATATTTTCGTCCCAAGGAGCTAACAATCATTTTTGCCCGAGAACACAGTCAATAATTGTTTTGTTATATGAAAAACAAATCAGTAAAATAGTATTTTGATTTCATTAACATTCAGCAACTCAAATACTCGTATATGTATATATCAAATGCATTGTCCTGCACATTGACTAGTGCAAGCGAATCCATCAAGTTGTATGATTGCGTTACTTTTTTTCTTCTTTTTTTAAAAACTTTTTTACCCGGTATCATTACGTCACAATAAATTAGTCTAAATCAATAATATTGTGGGAAAACTCTGCCGGTCAATTTTAAAATAAATTATTACATAAACATGCAAGTGCCTGTGGAATATAGTAGAGACTTTTCTTTACTGAATATAACAATGCCTTGTATTTTACTTTGCCAATATTTATATTTTTAAATGATCTATACCTTTGTCCTAAAACGGGTACCCTACGGCTTTCCATATAAAACATCTGCCCCCACATGTTTTTATACAAATTAGATTTTTTTTATCTTGTCATATTTACATGTACTTAGATTGTTTTTCTCTACAAAAAGAAAGATAACTCTTGCTGATGGATGCATTTTTTCACATTAAACATGTATGCATAATAATGTGATATTCTGACTCAAAAAGTATCGCTTCCTTTTGTTTTCTAATTGAATTTATTATGTTTGACACTAAATATTATTTTTATAAATAGTATACCTTTATTAATTTTATGTTGTGATAATAATTGTTCTATCTATTCACTGTGTCAAATGTTCTTCATACCTGGAAACTACTGATGTCACGATTCCCATATGTTTCCATCGGATTTCCAAATTTAGGAAACCGGGTTTTTCATCCTGTGACCCTTCTGAAACTTAAGTCTGTGTATGCTCTTTGGAAAATAATAAAAGTTATAAAATAAGCAATTATTAATGGAACCATTAAGATTGGTGATCACAATTTAAAGAAAATGAGAGTGAAACGTGAAGTATATGTATGAAGGACACAAATTTCTCCGTATACATATATAGATGAAATAGTGACCTTTTTGAGAGTCGTTTTTTTTACTCTATAACTGCTATCAATGTCCCACGGTGCTACTGTCCTCATAGGAAGCTGAAGGCCTACAGATTCAAAGTACAGTCATTAAAGTACAAAAATAAGTCTCATTTTTGGAGAAGCTGAATTAAGTTTCGATCATTTTCTTCTCTACATTTAAATATACCTTTGAAATAAAACATTGCAAATATTTATGCACTACCACTGTGTGTATTAATGAAATACAAAGGGAATTCCTATCAAAGCTGGAAATTCTTATATATATCGATCTATAGAAAGCAATTTCAACAGTGAAAAATTCAAACTGACTAATTTCCTCTATAGAAATAATTTTTATTACATTGTTTTCATTCAAATTATAAGTAAATTATAATACAAGAGAGAGAGTTGCTAATTTAATAAAATTTACAATAATTATAGTATAAGAGTTTTCAACGAGTAATTTAACTGAGTACTTGTGAAGGTCAAATTTTTCAAATACCAAAATCAATACTCAGTTATGCATAGAAGTAGAAAACCATAAAGAATACAAATATTTTACTTGAGATTATAACATAATACGTTGTTGTTCTACGATGAGAAATATTTCTGTTATTGTGGCCCCACCCAGTCGAAAAGGGAAAAATCAAGATGTGTTTGTGAAACACTAAGCCCCCCTCCCCCTCCATATGACAGCTCATTGTCAAGGTTAAAGGTTTTCAAATGCTAGTCAAATTCTAAGGTCAAGGCCAAGAGGTAAAAAATATTGGCACTCAAAGAAAGTCTTGTCACAAGTAATAAACATGTGAAATGCGAAAGCCCTAGCAAAAGTAGGTCAAACTCCAAAGTCAAGATCATGATCATGAGGTCAAAAATGTTGGCACCCTAGGGAAGGTCTTGTAACGAGGAATATACATATGAAATATGAAGGGCTAACACCATCAGTTTAAAAATTATGGCTAAAGTTAAAGTTTTTCAAAGTAGGTCATACTCCAGGGTCACGGTCATGAGGTCAAAAATGTTTGTACCCCAAGAAAGGTCTTGTCACAAGGAAAACACAATTGAAATATGAAAGACCTGGTACCAAGTGTTCTTACATTTAAAATTTCTACGCTTATTAAAAAAAAAATAAAACCAGTTAAATGAATTGAACTTACATGAATATTCTTATTATGACAAAGACATTCTTCTTTATATCACGTCAAACATCTGTTTTTGTAAACAGGACACGAGCTCAGTTATTGGTAGTGTTTACGTATCACCAGGTGTGATCAATTTGCTTATCTCTACACACATCACTGAGCACGGACTGACAATACTGGTGAGATGGTTTTGCTTTCTCACATTTCTTCTCCGAATTTTCTACATTATAGTTTTAATATTGTTCATTGATCACAACAAAAATTCGACTTTTCTTAAGTATTAAGTATAAAGTTTATTTTGTGAAAGTGCAAGCATGTTTCAACCAAACGAGTCCCAAAATTCGTAGTTTCAATAATTCCAAGATAAAAGAAGTTTCTGAACACGCTTTTATTATACTTCCATGTGAAATGCTATAGCAACATATAAGTCATGATATTATACAGAAAATTTGAGAAAATTTTACTTCAAATCTGTGTACAGGCCCCTTTAAGTTTTTCAAAGCAGTACAAACTTCTATGTCAAAAAAAATGTTGGTACCCTCGGAAGGTCTTGCTACAAGTACTATGCATGTGAAATAGGAAAGTCCCTTCACCAACTGTTACAAAGACAGAGCAAAGGTTAAGTTTTTCAAAAGTAGGTCATACTCCAAGGTCAAAATGTTGGTACCCAATGAAAGGTCTTGTCACAAAAAATACACA